TATACTCAAAACATGAGCTTTATTAATGTCACCTGGCAGCATAATCTTTTTGAAAGAATATATAATAGTAATGGTTCAGTATAAAAATAGATCCTTTTTTATTAGAAACACTTTTATTTGGAATTTTAAAACAGATTTTAAAATCTAAAGCTGATAGTCCTTTTCAAATAAGAAGTTAGTAAATAGTGTCTGTACGAAGAGACACTTTTTTATTTGGAAAAAAAATGTCAGTCTACTTTTGGTAGTTCACAAATAACCTCACTTTTTAAAAAACTGGTATTATGTTCAAAATAATGAAATCTATAAGAGTAATAGTTTGTATTGGTTTTAATAAATGCTTTAGAATGTATGCCACTTTGTGTTGTTCAAGTTGATCATTGTTTGCAAATAAGATAATTTACTCTTGATAGGGTTTGTTCCTTCAGTAGTCATATTGACTAGGCATGGGAATGATCCAACAGTGACTTCCCGTTGCTCATGGAAGGGAAGGGGAAGACAGTTAAATAAAAATATATAAGCCGTATCATGGGATATGTGCAATGCTGAAAGTTAAGGGCAGGGCTGGGGAGCATCAAGGAATATTATTAAATTCATCCTGGGGACATTAGAGAAGACTTCTAGAAGTTTTAAACAACTCTTAGAGGTTAGCTAGATGATTGGGAACGGGGTGGGGAGTGCAGAGGAGGAGTCAAGGTAGAGAATAGCATAACACATATAAATGTAGAGATGGCTGAGGAGACTACAAGAGCACTGCACATTGGAAGGGATCTTCAGGTAGTTTGGGAGTAACCCAGGCAGAAGGAATTTGCATGATAAGAGACTAGGTTAGATGATCCTACTATATAAAGAATGTAATTTATGCCATCTACATTTCTCAGTGAATAATAATTGTAGGAATAGGTGAAACAGTGGTAGGAGACATAATGGCTGGGCTAACATTTCAAATGTTTGCCACGTACCATGTACTATTCTAAGTTTTTACTTTTTCTCATTATCTCCTTTAACCCTTAGTGTCCTTATTTTCATAAAATATTTTTATATTTTGAAAGCTATAACAAGTTTAAGATAGGAGTATTGGCAACTTCCATTATTAAACTTATCCTTTATGTTACATTTGCAGAAATAGGTGGACCACAGTTAATATTATAGGTTTGGAGTGAAACAGGATATAAATCACTGTAATGATTTTAAACTTTGAATTTTTTTTCAAGGTTTATTTTATTTATTTGAGAGAGTGAGAGAGAGCACAAGAGGGGGTAGGGTCAGAGGGAGAAGCAGACTCCCTGCTAAGCAGGGAGCCCTATGCGAGACTCAATCCCGGGACCCTGGGATTATGACCTGAGCTGAAGGCTAACCAACTGAGCCACTCAGGCACCCTCAAATTTTTTTTTAATAATCAACTTAGTTCCAGGGCGCCTGGGTGGCTCAGTTGTTAAGTGTCTGCCTTCGGCTCAGGTTATGGTCCCAGGGTCCTGGGATCGAGCCCTGCATCGGGCTCCCCGCTCGGCGGGAGGCTTGCTTCTCCCTCTCCCACTCCCTCTGCTTGTGTTCCCTCTCTCACTGGCTCTCTCTCTGTCAAATAAATAAATAAAAATCTTTAAATTAAAAAAAAATGATCAACTTAGTTCCTTAATTTTTAAGCAGCTTTATTGAGGTACAAATGATATACATTAACATGCATATTTTTTTTATTATTATGTTATGGTAATGACCATACATTACATCATTAGTTTCTGATGTAGTGTTCCATGATTCATTGTTTGCATATAACAAACATTGCATTGTTTGCATATAACACGTCTGCTCCATGCAGAACGTGCCCTCTTTAATACCCATCACCAGGCTAACCCATCCCTCCACCCCCCTCCCTTCTGGAACCCTCAGTTTGTTTCTCAGAGTCCATAGTCTCTCATGGTTCATCTTAACATGCATATTTTAAATGAACAGTTTGATAAGTTAGCATATGTGTACGCCTATGAAACAGTCCCCATAATCAAGATAATGACCATATATGTCACTCCCCAAAGCTTCCTCCTGCCCTTTGTAATCCCTGCCTCTTGGCCCTCCTTATCCCCTATCTTTCCCAAGCAAACATTCATCTGCTGTCTGTCACTGTAGGTCAGTTTGCAGATTGCTTAAATGCTTAAGTATCATCTTGGATCTGTTCTGTAGTTTAAATGTGTGACTTCAGGAGTAGGTGACACTCACCAAAGTTCCAAACACACATATCATGCCCTTATCTAATATTTTATCTGAACAGGAACCTCTTCTGTTCATTTTTCTGAAGCACCCTTAAGAAGGGGTTCAGCAGCAGAATATCAAGATTTTTTTTTTTTTTAAGATTTTATTTATTTGACAGAGAGAGACACAGCGAGAGAGGGAACACAAACAGGGGGAGTGGGAGAGGGAGAAGCAGACTCCCCGCCGAGCAGGGAGCCCGATGCAGGGCTCGATCCCAGGACCCTGGGATCATGACCTGAGCCGAAGGCAGACGCTTAACGACTGAGCCACCCAGGCGCCCCGAATATCAAGATTTTAATGACTCATTATTGTTCTCTTTTTGAGTGTTATCACATTACTTTGCCAATAAATATACTTTTATGTCATTGTTTTAAATAGCTGCATAGTACTCTCTCCTCTTATTAGGTATACCTTAATTTTCTGAGATAATTTCTCCCTGTTAAACATTTAAATTGTTGCTAGGTTTTTGATAGTCATACAAGAAATATTTATCAAACTCTTACTGTCTGTCAGGTACTGTTCAAGGAATTGACTTGAGTAAGATAAGGACCCTGTCTTGAGGAATTTACATGGCAGAGGAAGACAGAGAATGAATGAACAAACCAACAAATGAGGCTGTTACAGATTTTTAATTGGCACCAAAAAGGCAATAAATAGGGGAGATGTGATAGGGCAAGGGGCTTTGTGGGGAAGCTGTGTGCTGCATTAGATAGACATATTAGACTTCTCTGAAGAAGTAGCCTGAGAAATGAGATCTACAGAATATTGTTGGAAGGGGTCATGACAAGAGCAAAGGCTCTGACATGGTTATGTTTTCTTAATAGAGTAGCAAGTAATTAAAGACAAACTTTTTTTGAAAATCTTTTTTTTTTTTTAATAGAGGGGGAGAGGGGCATTGGGGAAGGAGCAGAGGGAGAGAGAGAGAATATTAAGCAGGCTCATTGCCCAGCACTGAGCCGGACGGGGGCTCGATCTCACGACCCTGAGATCATGACCTGAGCTTAACCAACTGAGCTACCCATGTGCCCTAGAACCATTCTTAAAATTAATCTTGTTAAAAGAAAATTGAAGAAAGGGAACCTCTGTGATATTTCCAAATTTACATTAAATTGCTGTGTGAAGAGGGATACATTTCAGAACTAGAATGAATGAGTGAATGGAGAAAATATACCAGTTGAGTGGATCAAGTTCCCTGGGCAACTATAATAAAATGCAACTAATGAAAAAAATAATTAAAGGAGTAGTTATATAAGATAATGGCTACAAAGTTAGAGGTCTTTAGGAAACAGAAAAGCTGAGACAACTTATCCATTCATTTTACAAGTATCAAGCATCTACTATGTGTTAGGCGATGTTGTAGGTACTAAGGACACAGGAATAAATAAACCAGATAAAAGACCCTCCCCTAATGGGACTTCCATGAGACAGATAGAACAAATATAAAATAATAGGTAACATAACAAATGTTTTGAGAAAAGTGAAAGCAGAATTTTATATAATCTCTATATTTTAGTAGTTTTAAAGTGATTTCGAACATGTGTTATCTTAGTACTTACAACATTATTCTGTGATATGTCTAATACTAAAAAGGGAAAAATAATCATCTAATGTGCTTACATATTTCAATCTTATTTGTGTATTTCCAAATTGTGTGCAGGAGGTGATCTCATCCACTCTTGTGATTTTAGCTGGCATCTGTTTGTAGTTGATACTTAGAACTACCCTTTCACGAAGAGTCTTGTTTCCTACCATTTTTATATGTCTGGAAGGCAATTTAAGTTTAAATATAGAAGAAAGATTACTCATCCCACCCGCACCCCCAACCTGTCTCTTTATTCCATCATCATGGTTTTCTGTTATATCGCTGTGTATGTCCTAGATTCTATGCTCTGTAATGATCTGTTCAGTACCTTAGTTCCAAGGTTGTGACTGAAGGCAGAGATGTATATAGTGCATAGAATTGTTGATTTTGAGTGTAGAATTAATGAACATGAGATGCTTTTTTTCTAAAAAATATAGGATAAATTTAAGATAATTAAGTATAGGATAAAGATAATTGGGTTGCTAATAAAAGTTTGCAGTTTAACTATAAGATCAAAGTTTCATCTTGGTTATTTTTTCTGTGACTTGACAATCTTTATTTGTTTGAACTTCTAGTGTAAACGTGTATTAAAATTTCAATCACATAATGTATTAAGTCTAAATAAGGACTAAGAGATGTTCTATAGCTCTGGCATAATGCAATTTAAAGATTTATTTCTTTAGGACTTTTAAGAAATTTTGTGAGATTAGAGTGAGTTTTTATTTCAGTTCATAATACTTATTTGTTAAGTGAATTAATTTTTTTTTTTGTAGCTTTTCTATTTGGAGGGTGTTTTAAACCTTTCTCATATTTTCAGGTGAAGATTTGAGTTTTTAAAGTGTTAATTTTAGGGGCGCCTGGGTGGCTCAGTCGTTAAGCGTCTGCCTTCGTCTCAAGGTCCTGGGATCAAGCCCTGCATCAGGCTCCCTGCTCAGCGGGAGGACTGCTTCTCTCTCTCCCACTCCCCCTGCTTGTGTTCTCTCTCTTTGTCAAATAAATAAATAAAATCTTAAAGGAAAAAAAATGTGATTAATCACACACAAAAAATAAAGTGTTTATTTTATATTCTTGATATAAAGAGTTTGTGGTATAGTATACATAATGATTTATTGGGAAATAGAAAAGTTAATATTTATAGAACTTCCAGAATTTTAAGTGACTTTATCTTTTTTTCCAGGTTTGTTAAAGTTTTGCACTGTAGGGTTTTGTGGAATTGGGAGCCTAATTGATTTCATTCTTATTTCAATGCAGGTAAGTTAGTTTCAGTCCAGAAAATGAACTACTTTTCCATTCAAATTTGAGTTCTGTGATCTTTTCCTGGTATATTTTAAATATATTAGAAAGCACACTTTATCTCTTAACTCAGGCAAAAGACCCTGTGGGCAGAGTATCCCCCAATGGGAACTGAAACTACCCCCTCAAGCAATAAGGGCTGCCCCGAGCCAGCGAGACCCCACATGACCGACCCCCAAGAAAGTGATCAACCTGACCTTTGCTGCCCCTGCTGCACACATCCACCGACCTTTGTCCCACATTTTCCTGATAAAAACCTGGAAGTGTTTCCAGCACTTTGGAGACAGTCTTTGAGACGCTAGTCCACTGTCTTCCCAGTGTTGGCCTCATTGAAATAAGTTCTTTTCTTGTTTCAAAAAAAACAAAAATGAAAGTAAAAATATTAAAAAATAACTATTTTAGAAAGCAGTTAGGAATACTTTTTCAGTTCTTTAGATGCTGCACCTAAGGAATCATAGCCATGTTTCCAAGTAACATTTCCCAACCTCTGTTCTACCAGTTAGTAGTTCTAAAAGACTACTATCTTTTCATTAAAAAAAAAAAAAAAAGGATTCTGTGCTCAAATATGATTGTAAATGGTAGAAACTGAAATCCAGCTAGCTTAAGCCAGAAAGAAAAAAGGAATGTCTGAGCGTTCTGTAGAAAATCTAGGAGTGGGGCTGGCCTCGGGCACAACCAAATCTATATAAGCGAATGATGTGTTCAGGAACTCTCCTGATACCTCTCTCTGCTTCTCTGTGTTAACCTCATCTTTTCCTGCTGCGATAGTGTAGAGGCAGGTGTAGTGTGTGAAATGCTATCCTTTAGCATTTAAAAGTGCCACCAGATGTTTTACATTAAATTACACTAAACCGATTGTGGTTAACTTATGAGGATTCTTAAATTAGAGAAGGAGATGAATTTATCACAACAAATTCACAAAACAGCATTTCAGTAAGCATTTATGGATCACCTCATGTCTTCAGCAAGAGTGTCAGTATGTATGTAGATCATCATCAGTTTTGGTCTTCTTTCTCATACAATATTTCCACTCCTCAATTCTGTCTGCTTGATGTTAATCCTTATGTTTTAAAAGAAAGTCAAAATCCAGGAGATTTTGGTAGCATACTGTGAGGAGGGTACCATACTGTGAGGAGGAGGCAGCATATGGACCAATAAGATACCAGAATTAAACAAGGAAAATATTTGGTTTTAAAGTTGGAATTTTCCTGTCTTTATTCATAAACATATGCCTAACCAAATATCCTGCCTTCTCTGACTGGGGGACAGGCAGGCAGGCATGAAGAGGCTAAGGTACTTGTGCACATATGCTTAGAAATGGATTTCTCACTTTAAATGAGGATCCAAGGAATTTCATGTATTATTGGGATTCTTTAAAATATCCAGAATTCAATGTCTTTGAAACCCATTTACTTAATATTTTCACACTAGGTTCTTTCTTTGATGATGTCATTGCTTTATATAAAGCTTTACTTATATCAAATTATAGAGCTCATTTGATTCCGCGATTGCTTTCTGGTACGCGAATGCCTGAACTTTTGAGAACAAATCGCTCTTTAAGATCTCCAATGGAGGGGCGCCTGGGTGGCTCAGTTGGTTAAGCGACTGCCTTCGGCTCAGGTCCTGATCCTGGAGTCCCGGGATCGAGTCCCGCATCGGGCTCCCTGCTTGGCGGGGAGTCTGCTTCCCCCTCTGACCCTCCCCCCTCTCATGGGCTCTCTTTCTCTCTCACTCTCTCAAATAAATGAATAAATAAAATCTTTAAAAAAAAAAAAAAAGATCTCCAACGGAACCTACTGCATTAAGAAATACTGAGGCAGAATTAGAGTGTTTGAATTTCTGCAGCACATTTCCCTAAGACATTTTAACAGTTATGGCCACATTAGCTTTAGACTGCTCTCAGATTGGGGAAAAAATAAGTTTCCAAATGTAGCCAAATAAGTGGGGTAGCCTTATTCTACATGTCATGTAATATACTTAACATGTGATGTTGACTACTTTAGTTTTTAAGAATTATTTTTTCAACAAATAAAATGTTTTTAATATAAATATCATAAACTATATTAATGTTTTTGTCCCAAATATATTTTTTCCAATGTCTCATAGACCTTTTACATTTGTCCATCATCTTTTTGTTTATTCTTCTTTCTCATTCTCTCCATCCTGTTTTTTTTTTTTCTTTTTGCCATTAAATATTGTTCCCCAGTGAATAGTGATGTTTTTATATTGGGCTATGATCCCAGAAACATATTGTGCATGAACTCAGGACCTATAAAAACATACTTTGCTTCACAGTGTTTATAACAAAAATCCAGGAAAATCCTCCTTAAAAAAAATAGGTCTAGTTATTTCTTCTTTGAACCAAAGTAATATAAAGCATAATGCACATATTACTAAAGTAACCTTTACATGTCACTATATTTACTGAAAATACTTCAATGAGTATCTATTTGTTAATAAACTTTTTAAGTTTCTTTTTTTGTTCTTAAAAAGTATGAAGATGGCAGTGTGAATTAATAGTATAAAATAATACATAGAATTAATTCAGCCCTTTTGTGCATTCAACAAAAATCTAAATCAGTGATATATTTGTAACATACAGTCTTTCAATTATAGGTAACTGTTGTGTATAATTACAGTATAATTATTCATAAGGCAGTTCTGAAGATTTTAAGACATTCATTCTTTGTGCTTATATGTTTATATATATGTTATGATGGATTGATTAGACATTTAATTTTTTTATCAGAAAAAATGAGAATATTTTGATTTCATTTAAACTTCTTTTTTCACTCACACAATCTGGATGTTTTTAATTGTACCAAAACCATTGATGTGGAGTCTGCAAAAAAAGGGAAAAGAAAGTTTCCTTTGTTAAGTGGAGATAAGATAGCCACAAATCAGAAAGATGAAGATGGGTAGAGGGAAAATGGAAATATGAAATGGAATGTAGAAATTTGTAGGAAGGAAGGAAGTCAGGGTACTTTGTGACAATTTTAAAAAATTCTATGCATCATGGAAGAAATTGCTTTCATTTTTATTCCTGTTAACATTACAGAGTAGATCTCCTTAAGGGACTAATAACTATATAAGCAGTAGCAATTCACAGAAGCAGCATAATTTCAAGACATTAATGAATTTTACAAATTTGTAAAATTTATAAAATATCTCATTAGTTTGGTATTTAATATAGATAATCCACTTTAGCACTGAATTATATAGTGCTTCTGTGTTGTTTTTTAACTTTTAGACATGAGGTTTTACTTTTCACACATAAATTTCTTTAGAAAAAAAAGTTTTTTTACTATAGCACTGGTAGTATGCTAAACCCATATACTATCGAAAATTTTGGCTGATTTGAACTGAATGCAGTATACCTTGTGAAAAGTGTAGCTTTGTACCAATTACAGGGAAGATGAGAAGCTAAAAAAGGTAGTTTTAAAAAGTGCTTGCTTTTTCTTTAGGACCTTGAAGTTCTAAATTTCTTAGTGTCACTTGAGAAGTAATGAATAAAAATTGATATGATAAACTATAAATAGTAGGTTTTATGCCATTGATGAAAATGGGTTTAGTGAGCACCAATCAGGTATAATTAGTTGAGGTCCTGCCCTAGAGAAACTTATAATCTATCCCAAAAGTGTTCTGATAATAAGATTCCATTTATTATCAGAAATAAAATGTTTCCTTGGGAACTGCAGGCTTAAAATAAAAATGTGATTTTATCTTGTTTAAATTCTTTGAATTTTACCAAAAATTTTAAAAGACTAGGCTTTTCAGTTTAGAACATGAGCAAGGCTCAAGTTGTAGGTTCACTTCTGTGTTCGCCAGTTTGTTTTGTCCAAGACATAGCCTACTCCCTTGCCCTGTGACATACGTATACTGTTGATCAAAAGAAGAACTAAATCTGTAATCACCCTAAATCTGTTACCAGTACTGGAAAAGTTGATCAAAGTCCAGTAGACATTTTATAGATATCAAGTCTTTCAAATAGCCCGCTCTATTATTTATTTAACCCTGGTGTGATTTGCTGGGGAAATAAACTGGAAAACTGAGGAGACTGATAATTTGTGTAGCCTCTGCTCTGTCATGTGACCTTAATCAGGCAGATTTCACTTAATTCACTTTTCCTGTGGGCAGGTATTTATTCAGTGAATTAAAGGAATGTTCAAAAAACAGAGAGTATCTTTTTTTTTTTTAAGATTTTATTTATTTATTTGACAGAGAAAGACAGTGAGAGAGGGAACACAAGCAGGGGGAGTGGGGGAGGGAGAAGCAGGCTTCCTGCTGAGCAGGGAGCGCGATGTGGGGCTCACATCGATCCCAGGACCCCGGGATCATGACCTGAGCCGAAGGGAGACACTTAACAACTGAGCGACCCAGGCGCCCCAATAAAGAGTATCTTAAACTGGTTTTGAGATTAATCCCAAAGCTGTGTTTTCTTCAGGAGATGTAATGTATGAATCTTAATCATTTCTTGAGGAATGATGTTTATATTGTTATTTAGGATTAATACTAACCAGTCTTTACATCAAATGAAGTCAGGGGGTCTGCATGCACAACTTCTGGCACTTTGTAGGAATTTTGGCGTTTAATTTAAATGTGACTAATCAGATGGTTTTAATGGCCTCACATTAAAATTAACCACACAGAAGTCAGCTATGAACACAAAAATGTAATTTGACTTTTAAAAGAATGTATGTATTTTTGGGAGAACTAGGAGGACACAGTTTGCATCATTGTCCTCTAATTGCAGACAATGGAATCATTTTACTTTTTTCACCAGGTTAATAGGTCTTTAGGAGATGATTTAATCTTGCCAGTGATAGTATTTGCATTCTTCATATGGAGAAACTCCTAAGTGGATTAGATCGCATAAAAGGGTGCATTGATAGAGTTGTATAAAGTGTTCTTAGTTTTCCTTTCCCTCCTTAATTCATTCATAACATTTTAAATTTGTA